GACTGGAGTTAGTAGATAGTCCTCTGTTTCTCCTTTCGTTTCTGTCGGGCCAAATGAGCTGACTGACTATCACTGAAGACGACACCTGAACAAGCGTGAGCTGACTATTTGATTCAGCCCTGGTATGAGCCGGTTGGCACAGTGGTAACACACGCTTTCCATGCGATGGGTCAGGAGTTCAAATCCAGGATGGGACGGTGAATATGTACTACTGATGAGCTCTAATAAGAGAGAAATTCGAGTCTAATGCTTCCGTGCGTATGGTTGAATCGATGAATTGAGGATTGCGTGTGAAGGTGAAGTCATTTCAAATCAATCAAATTAAAATAAAATTTATTTCAAGTCATTCTCGACGTTCAATTATTCATATTTTTTTCCATTTCCATTTCATGTCTATGGATCGGAGGTCAATGCTGTCCAGAGATCGATTTTCAATTTCAGTCTACCCGTTGATCGAAATTTTAATTCCCTAGCCCAACGAGATCAATCGTATTGCACCACCAGTGAGCAGCTAGCCTTACCTCTGGTCAGAGTTGCACTGTTCGCAACATCGTTCTTTATCAGATCAATTAAAGTGATAAACCTTACCAATTCACACTGTCTTCTTCTATCTGCCCCTTACTAAATGGTTCCTAACTCAGTCGCTCTTGCGCACCTTTAGCGCTGCCTCCTATTGGTGGATGTTTTCGAGAAACGTAAGTCAAATGAAGTCAAGAATTTGCGTTATTACACCATCCGCTGTGTATTCAGCAATCGAATACCACACGGAGATGAAGTTACGCATAATACTACAATAATACACTAAGTTTGAAGAATTAATTAAAAGCTGTGAACCAACCATGTCATATACGGTCCGAGTGGAATACAAAGCGAACTGGAGAAGACAAGTACGCTTTTGTGCATGCTCGAACGTGTTTGTACAGAGAGCAAGTAGAAGAGATCGAAATAAATTTGGATAGTGTGGGGTTAGGAGGGTGACAGAACTCAGACAATATTTTGTAAAAGAGTTTGTCGCAAGCATCTGCATGGGCATTATCGGCTTGAGTAACCGCAACTAGCCTTGGACTATACCTCGCATTCATTAGTGTTTCGCCCATGTTACCCTTTGATCAAGATGTTCACCACGGCTGTTTTGTCCATTATGTTATTCAGCCTAGGGGTTTCAACCGACTTACGCAATATACAACAGTCTTCCGAAATGACGTAACAGAAATTGGCCCAGAGACCGCTTCATCCCATCCGGATTGTGCGTACGATAGTCTCTATAGAATATATATTGAATTACGAGAAACGGCTGAAACATTGAGTTCACCTCGTCAAAAATCTGGTATTTTCGGTGAAACTGGTAGAATAGGTACCCAACTTCTACCGATTATGTAGTTGCACCTCCAATGGTAGGCGAAATCAGGAATAGCATAACGTTTACGAAGAGTCAGACGAACCGTCTGCCACATGCTTACACATCGTACATGGTGTGCACTCACCGGCGGTCCAATCAGTCTATTTTGTGGATGTGTCTGAACACAAAATGCAAAACTTGGTTAACTGCTGAAAAGTATCTATCTTCACAATGCTGTGTTCTACGTGTAAGTTTGGAAGTCCTACCGCGCGCCCTGTAATTGGTTGCGCTACACTCTCGTGCATGTAGTCACGTTGGAATTTATCGCGTTTGTTTCATCAATATCTCGATGCTAAGCATGTCCAAGATCTATGACTATTCTCATAATGACATGCTTCGACTGAAAACTGTGAATTCTTTTTCCCCATGTAACTATTGGCTTGTTGAGAGTCAGAAATGTTCTTCAATCAACAACACAGACTACCCGGATGGCAGACTGCCGAAATTGCTGTGGCATCATGGATCAGAGCACAAAGGTTCGCTCGCTATTCGCGAAGATGTTGGACTTAATCTCTTTTCTGAACACATGCGTAAATTCCAACACATGTTGCATGTGTACAAGAAACTTGGTTGAACCAAAACGTTGAGGAAGTGCTCGTGCGAATACAACGCTTTGATTGCTCCCGGCAGGATAGCAACGAAGGAAAAAAACTGGAGGCGGTGTGGCGACCTTCATAGATGTTTCCTGGTGCGACAATTCAGAAGTGATATATAACTATTCTGAAAAACGCATTCACTGGTTGTCCGTTTGTTGTCGTCACAAATTTTCCCGTCACAAAATTACAATCATTTATAGTGTGCAGATATCTTCTTCGTGTTCTCAGACGAAAATCTCGGCTTACTTGTATTCCTACATCCAGTTATTAGTTCCATTTCTGGATGAAAATCTTTATTTACTTGTTGGTGATTTTATTCATGCAAGCATTTGCCCCTGCATCCCTTTGATCTAGCTGAGCTTTCTTATTCTCTTAATAGAGGTATTTCTCTCTCAAACTAATTACCCTCGTTTCTACTAGTGACTATTTTATTGTTCTTCTTAAACCAAAGGTATACTCCCTCACTGCTTATCGAAAATTCATACTTTCCAATCAGACGAAATTTCATCCAGCCGCATCTCTCTTCTCAACCATTCTGTTGCGATTAGTCAGTTTTGGTTTGATTCTTATCCATCGATCATTATATGCGTCAGTCAGTTCACTGAAACGATTAAATCAATCTTTAACTTCTCTCACCCCATGAAAACCGTGTTTAGCTATGACAGTAACCATCTCATCTTTTTTGAAATCGCTGAGAAGACACAGAAAGGGCCTACAACCCTCGCCATGCATCAGTCGTAAAGCACTATTTTGACGTAATCAGGTCTGAGATAATGCATTTGAACGCAATCTCCACCACCCAAACTCTACGAACAAAGGACACCCGGCTTTTGCGGCAAGGTATTTGCCTTCTCTGTGGGAAGAACAGAAAACATTCTAATACCTCTATGGATATCAACAGCCTTAACACCGCTTTCATCCAACCATCGAAAGAGAGCCAGAATTCCTTCTTCCCGTGCTATGAATCCGATTCAATTCCTTTTACCGATGATGAAATCTTTAAGCTTCTCCGATCTTTCAAAGTATTTTCAGCTGCTGGCCCTGATGATCCTCCTCCGGCACTCCTCATGGCTTATCTGGCCAATATGATTATCTTCCGCTTTATTGAGTCCCTATCTTCCCGATCGATTACTGATTCTCCGCCTCAAGTTAGCATTATTTGAATCCCCAAATCCTCGTCCTCAACTATTCTTGCAAAACGGTCTCGTCTTATCACGTTGACTGCAAAGATCATCTTGAGTCGTTTTCAGCCAATAAACACAATCTCGTTTAAACCCGATCCTGTTTGCGTATAAACCCAACAGATTCACACTGGACTCCATATCCACTCTATTCCATTTTATCAGTTAGCCTGAACAATTAGCTCAAGTCTGTTCGTTATGCTTTTCTTCATTTATCGTCCGCGTTTGGATCTGCTTCTGAATCATCCCTTCTTTTAAAACTTGAATGTTCTGGCACTCTGCGACAGCTGCTCTCATGTCTTCTGACATCTTCGTTGAGGGTCTAGTGCATTAAAATGAGATGAAGGATATCAAAACTTATTCTTAGTAATTCTAGTGTGCTTCAAGGGGCTGTCCTACCTCCAAATATATTTTCTGATTCTATTGGTGATCTTCTGGTCCCCGCTGCACACATCCAGAAGTACACTGACGACGTCGTTTTGTGTCAAAATTTGTGTATCTCCTTCGGAATTGGATTCTCCTCTCACTGAGAACCTGGCCCACATCCAACAGTTTCCCAACAAATCTGGTCTTGGTCTCAACATATTTAAGTGCCTAGAGTGCCTCTTTAGTCTTTCCCGCTCCTCATTTCCAGCGGACTCTGCTACCCTTAACTGTAAGCCGGTATCAAGTACTTGGGTGTCACCATCGTCATTAGTCTTCGGTGATCCACACATATTCACAACTGTATGACAAAAGTGAGACGCCAATCTTTTCAATTACACAAACTCAGGCAATTCCGAACCCCACAGTTGGTCCTGTCGTCTTTCGTTCACCAATGCGTTTTATCCTATTGCTATCTATTGCTCCCCTTAATTTTTTCTTGACCTTTTGAAACATTACTGCAAAACCATTCGTTGTAGTTTAATGACAATCATTCGTGCATCATTATTCCCATTCGATTCATTAATCACAGAGTTCATTAATGGTCACATCAACTAATGAGTTACATTTGCCAATAAGATTCTAGATTGCCCTTTTCACCCACTGCATCCTGATCTATCATTTTGTCGTTCTTATCCATTTATACTCTCCTCTTTTCGGCATCTACCCTGTAGTATTAACATTTATAAAAGTTACCCTGCACCCTACCTGGTCCGACTCCTAAACAAAAAGGAACAGGTGGTTAGTGAAGTACATCAGAAATTGTGTACATTAGTGAGATTCTTTACCTTGCATATTGTATGAAACTGTATATTTCATTTCATACGATGACAAGTGTATCGTTTTAACTGTAGTGTAAGCAGACTGGCTTACACAAGTTATGCAAACATAAAATACATATAGACATACAAATGTCTATGAGAGTAATTCATACCTATGGTTCAACCTTGGAAATCAAATACCTACTCAATGGATATTATTCAGTGATGTGTTCTGTGGTATAGCCGTTCAGTCCATGGCTTGATCAGACGTGAAAATCTAGACCTATGAATTTGCTCAGGCAGATCCCGACTGAATACATTTCGTACCAAGGGGTCCCTACAGAAATAGCACAGCATTGACCATATGTATAAACGGATATTTTTTTGTTCTGCGTTGGTTCACTCAGCGTATTGTCTCAGATTCCTCATTTTCTCAACTTCACTTCCATCTATCTTTTTTGCGGTATTGCAGTTAATCTGACACAAATAGGGTTTGGGGCGGAATTGCAGTTTACTTAGACTGGAAACGAAAACGGTACTAACAGCAGGGCTAGGAGAAGCTTATTCGTGAGCTGTTTTTGTCTAATTTGTATATCCTCCACTAACTAAGTTGTTACTAAGTCCCAGAACAATTTTTAGCTTACACATTTACCGACTGACTTGCCTTGTCCAATGTTTGCTTCAAAAGTGACAGATCGTAGTTTATCCGTTCGATAAGCCATCTCGTTTTGTCCGGCTTGTCCACCACTTCAACGGATTGGGTGTACGGATCGTAGAGTACATCAAATGGACGTTTGATCGTTTGCGCAAATTGTCTGCAATGTACAGACAAACGGATAGGTAGGGTAAGGTGCAATAAAAGACAGAAGAATGATTCATAGAATGAACTCGTCATGTGAAAGGTAAATGAATAGTGAACTGAGAAGCTAAAAAGCACTGTACTGCTGTTTGCGTCTCATCAGCAGAGCAAATCCATTGACTCAGCTTGGAATCGAACCGGGGACCTCACAGGGAGAACACAAGCATATTACCCACTCGGTCATTGGGCAGCTGATCAGACCGTTTTTAATTTATCAATAAAGCACAACCCATCTTTGCGAGCTTGTTGCAGGCATCACGCCTCGCTCATATTCTCATATTCTCTCTATTCTCTGGGGTTATAACTAGTTTGGACACTTTCACAAACTGACTTCTTGCTGCGTCTGAGTAATGGAGGATTTGATTCGGTTTCATAGAATGAATTCGCTGTGTATGTAGCAAATGAAGCATGAAATGAAAAGCTAGGAAGCATTGTACAACTTCTTTGACCTGGTTGAGTCTCATCAACAGTGTGTTCTGCCTATGACGTCCCGGGTTCGATCCCGAGTTGGGTCGATGGGTTCGCACTGCTGATGAGATCCAACCAGATCGAAACAGCAGTACAGTGCTTTCCAGCTTTTCAGTTCACGCTTCATTTACTCAATACACAAATTTCTTCTATCAAATGGAATAAAATCTTACATTACTTGCAGGCAGATGAATGTTTGCATTCTGTTGAATGCATACTATTCTATTTTATCAGATAAACGATGTTGCAATAAATGAGTAGATGACTGAAATCATGATTAGTGCAAAGTGAACACGTAATACTACCGAACATGATGAAACTGATGAAAATCCTCCGCCAATGGATGGTAAAATTCATCACTGACTGTTATGTCAACTTCTTGAACAGGATTGCCAAACATCTATTAAATAAGGAAAATATATGGCCTCATGATATACGAACCAATATCAAACAGCATGGTTTAGGGGATTTTTCCATAAGTTAAGATCGGCAAATGATAGGAAAGCATCAAGGAAGTAATACTTTATTCGCGCGTGCTCATCAAGGAGTCACACACTCACCTCATTTTATTTGTTGCATCCTCAAACGATGGTGTTTCAAAATAGCCCTCTTGAAACGTGGTCACTAGGCACTCCTTCTTCATCACTTCGCTCGGAATGAACGGCTGGATGACAGCTTTGTCGCTCAATGCATGCTGCACAAAAGGGTCGAATTGTAAGCGGGATAAAAACGTTTTCTGAACTGCCGAGATCAAACAAAATTAAATTTCTTTGTAGATCACATTTGACGACCAGAATAACATGTCAAACATTGGGATCGGAAAAACGAATAGATCACTTCAAAAGTCATAATTGAACCACTACTGTAAGCAATACGTGAAATGAAAGAATGGATGAGTGAACTAAAATCGGAAAGCTCTATGCCTGCGAACGTGCTTGGGACTCGGAGTGGCTGAACGAAGCAGAAATTCATCTATATAAGATGGAGTATAGAAAGAGCTCGCATACTATCAAGCTTATCCAAAGCTTTAGGTTTCCCGGTGGTGATCGAGGATTTCGGCCCTGGCAGAACCCCGACACACGGATGAATGTCTGCGCAATCCGCGGATAGCACACAAAAATCCCTCTGTAATACAACAAAAAGGATTACAGAGGAAGAAGCACAGAGTCAATCTGAGAGGATGAAGCTCCATTCAGATTGTTTGATCAACTGCAAGGAAGAAGAAGGAGATATTTCGGCACAGTGTATAAAAGGAAGACTTCACATTTTAGAGAGAACGATCCGTCAGGTCCCAGGAGAAAACGTTTGAAAACATTTCTTAACATTTTACTGATTATTTTTCGGTGAAGAGTGTACGGGTACTTGGTAGAGACAAACATGTCTACAAGATAGCAGATTAGGGTTTTTTTAGAGGAAAAACAAAACATCAGTAAGTTTAGATGGATTCATAAGCGTGCGTGTACAGAAAAGGAATCTGGAACCTGTGGAGTACGGAATTGAATAGAATGGAGAATGTAGTCATTCAGGAATGGTGCACTAAACGTAACATTGTCATCATAGTTCGTCCCCAGAAATTCCACACAAACAAGCAGCGAGGTTGAATAACTGAAAAAGGTAGAAGGAGAAAGTAGCTATAAATGAACCCAAAAAAGAAGTCAAAGAAGAGGGTGCCTGGATACGAAAAGCAATAAACTACCTGCAGTAGAAAAACTGGTCTTCAAAAAGAGCCATGGTTGGACAGATTGGATACCACATGAACGAAAAAATGGTGTTCTCTGTCAACACTGAGGATTGTATCACTGTAGTCTGAGAACCAGATTTGTACATCCTTGTACGTTTTTTCAAATGAATACAAAATAGTATAGATTAGACAGCATCAAGGATTAGCTGTTTGGGATAGAAGAAAAATTCATCCTAGTGGGGTTTCGTTTGCTGTATGGATGCCCACCTGTTTTTTCTATCTTGGGCAAATGCACAAATATAAAAAACAATTCAGCTGTTTTTCGGCACCTCTGTTGGCCAATTCCGCTATTACTTTTTGATAACTTCTCGATAATCACAGAACATCAGATGATTGGTGGAATATTCACTCAGAACCTAGGTATCTCGATTGGACTCTGTCATTCATTCTGTCTTCGGTGAAACATCTGTTTAATACGGAATTAGACGAATGATGTCATCGCATAAATCAAATACCGCCTCTTTTGTGTGCGCGCAATGGACTAGTAAGTATTAATCGACAGTTGGCAGAAGACATTGGTTTCGGCCGTGTTTTGATTCATCAGTATTGCGAATAATGTCTGCGTCGCCGCAGGCAAACCATGATTCTATGCAGGTATAAATTGAATGGAACATTTTCCTGCGCAGCCGATGCGAATTCGCAGATACAAAGGTCCGCGTTCTGCTGCTATTCGGGAGTCCCCGATCGTGCTTGGACTAAGCAAAATAGCGTTTTATCCATCGATTCCCTAGCTTTGTCTCGCTACAGTAAAATTGGATCACCTTATCATACCACTTATTACCGAATGGTTTCAAACGTCCAATCGCGCCAATAGGAGATATCTTCTCGTATTTAGTATTCCAAGTTAACGATTTGTAACGGAATGTGATATCAGTGAAGTCTTGCTGAAAACATGTTGACCTCTTTCTTTTAATTAAAAGAGTAACTTTGTACAATCCCATTAGTTAACCCTAAATATGAGGTCAAGAAGTGCTCAGTTTTCATACAAATTCGAGAATAAAAAGTAGATACTAAGTAAAGAATTTTAATTTATGTTGAGATTATTCGTTTACTGAGACAGATAGCTAAGCAGAACGTATCTCCTGTAATCAACAAATAACAGTCTCTGAAATAGATCGTCAGTTGTAATTCACGTTACACCTTATTTGATCAAGCCTAACTGTTGTCCTTCCCGATCTAGTTAGCAATCACGAGCAAACAAATCGAGTTCATTCGAACCGGAACAAATTATTCGATTTCCTCAAAATGTCAAACACCCACGCAAGTCAAACAATGGATATTTCCGGCTCTGTGGTGAGCGAAAATCACAGGTATTTTTTATTTTCACTTCCACATACACACACGCATACGCACTCATCGAAAAACGTTGTCTACAGTGATTTCGGTGGTTGTTTAGCCCTCGGTGATGACCCGTTTTGGCTTCCGCTCATAGCTTATGAACCATTGTTCAGGGAGTTTTGGACATCGCACACGGTGTTTCGCCTTGGTTCGTATTTTTGGTGCAAATTTCATTTTGGGCTTGGCACACACTCACTTCGCAACAGCCAGGCCGTAGCTTCATCCAATCAGATAGGGTGCTCTGAAAATGGCCGTACGAACGACGGTGAAATGCAACCCAAGCTCGGCACGTCGGCAAGAGTGGTCAAGATCACGGAGTAGGAAAAGTCTCAACTGAGCACTGAGTGAATCCATCTATGTGGGTTCATGCATGTACATGTATCAGGAATTAAGGTGAATTTCAGTTCAGGTTTTCGTATACGTACTTCAACCGATGACTACCTACAACTGTGTGTTGTTTCGGGCTGTGCTGTTTGTCGTTACAAATCCCAAATCAGTGAGTTGTTATCCCTTTCATTCTATGCAACTAGATGCGGCAATCAGCTGTGTTATGAGCGGTTGCAACGCACGTCCACGTATAATTATTGAATACGGTTGTCTATAAATCCGAATGTGTACTTACTTTCAGTTCCGCGATAGATGACAGTAAACCGGCTCCGTATGCGCGCAGTTGTCCGTTTTGACGACACAAACCAAATTCGATTGTAAAGAAATAGCACTGTGTTCATTGCAGATGAGGAAGAAAGTAAAAGAAAATCGCTTGTAAAGCATGTTTATTCGTTCTGTTTTGGTGTTGCTTTGCGTTTCTGCTAATAACACAACAATCATACATACTACTAACATGCACTTCTAAGTAGCTTGGCAACGAACGCAGAGAATCCTACTCAGTGATATTGTTTTACCGATGTGACAACCAGTGGAATCAAACTACTTCGTGGCTTCCAGCCTGTGGTGCACGAATCACAGCTGTATTTTGAACTCACGGTAGCCAATTTCTTCACCTCCTCATCCGAGGCACCCAACGATGCAAGCCCCATTTCATGTGAAAACCTTGCGAATGAGGGATCTGCCAGTAGTGGCATGTGCCCAAGTATTTCATGGCAACAGTCACTATAAGATGGATGGAAAAAACACAGAAATGGAGTCGAAATTCGTGACTGTTGGTTGAAAACGAAAATTACCGTTTAGAAAATCTGCTCTCTACTGCTCCACCCAGTGTGGGTTACGACTACAATTTTCTGCAACGTTTTGATTGAAGGATCGTCTGTCCCTTATCGAGCACTATTTTGAATTGTGGAAAATTATAAAGTTGATAATGTGTTGATCTGAGGCTTTGATTGCTTTCACAATGTACGATCATTACACTGTCCACCGATTTCTGTTGTCGGTTTCACTTTTGCAATGTGTCGGTGAGAGTGCATTTTGGTGTTGTAATAAGAAATAATAATCCCTATATTTATACTTCCTTATTGTACCAGTTGAAAAACTGGAATCAGTATTCCGTCCAAAGCTGCAATGTTTGAAGGAGCAGGCAAGGACGTTGTGGTTTGAAAAAAAACACTACAAGTTTTCCAAATCAAGTTTCTCGAATATCATTTCCAGAGTTCCGGGTTTAATTTCCAGTTGTCCCAGTGTCATTTCAAGCTGTCTCTTTGAACTTACCGGTGCTACCAAGCCCGTACCCTGTTCAGGCCTCCAAGTGATATTTAGATAAACACCATGCAGAACAGATTTGTAAGACTCCTGTTGAGGCGAGGGGAGTGGAGGGACTGTCTGGATTACGCACACCCCAATTCCCATGACAAATCTTTGTTGTTGACCTAGCTAGTGTCTGGTTGTCACTCTATTAAGAACGACCTTATTGTTGTTCCGATCGTGAATGTAAATTGATAAATTGGAGTGTCCCCTTAATTTTCATGCACCTTCTGGTACTCGGCTGATCAATAATATAAAATACATATAATATATTTATATATATAATATAATACTAATATAATTTGATATTGGGTTGTTCGAATCCAGTTCGTAATATTTACCTGTGAATCTCATGCCGTAGCCTTATTTCACCCGGCTAACGATGTATACTGGAAGTGTTTTAATAAGACCGTATGATTTCAGTGGCAAACGTTATCAAATTCAAAATCCATTCTCATAAAAGTGCACTGAAAAACCCTCCAATTTTCAACTTAGAATCTCTTTCAAAATTAAGGAGCCAGGGTGAGATTTATGAAATATTCCCACATTTGGTACCTCATTCCGTTCCGGATGTATGGTTAAATGCTCATTTTGATTGTTTAGTACTTGAGGAGACAAACTTCTTTTGGTGCTTTTCTGGGGTTTGTACAGAGATGGAATATAATCTGCAAGCAGCACACAAACTGGATGTGAACCTGGACAACAATGACGCGTATATCAATGGAACGTGATCCATTAGTATCTGAGATGTATGGCACGAATGCTATTGCAACAGTATACAATGAGAGTAAGCAATAGCTCAAGCCCTGATCGCGAATGATCCATCAGTGTCAGTGGAGCATGACTCGATATCACGTTTCAGGCGAAGGGGGACGAACAGAGAGAGAGAAAGACGCGTACGCATACTACCTGGCTGTGACTGCTCGTTGGGAGCACGTTCTTAACGGAACCACTGCGGTACTGAGTAAAGGTACCCGGGGGATGTCGGTGCCTCTGAATACCAGAGCGATGAGCTTTTATGGAAAAAAGAAACGAAACTTCAACCGGAATTCCTCGCAAATTTCTCATTGAAAAAACGATTATATTCCATACGCTTTTGTGCTGCTCACAGAAGTTCAAATCATGTGACAATTTCGGTGTTGATTTTGAGAGCATGGTGATGGTTGAATGGGATTTTTACTGACTTCACGATAGTTCATTGAAGCCCGGAGTGTTCTGGGTTGGCGGAGGGGGACAAAACATTTTAACGTCAGGTAACAGTGGAGGAAAGAGATTGTATCTTAATTTGGTTTTCCGGTTGCATATTGTGGCATGGTGAATAAAAGATCACAGGTAACACAAGCTCGTTTTCAATGAATCGTGAACTGGCAATCACGGACAATAAGGATGATAGGAAAATCGACTAACGGACATACTTTGGAACTATGACGTCATGGAAATAATGTGTTCTGGTTTAATTCTGAGTTCCCTGGTCTGTGTGAGAGAGGGTCATTCATTGAATACTGCATATTATTTAATATTAGCAGTCTATTGATTGAATATCAATTAAAAACTACTCACGGTTCCGGTGTGTACATGGGGTCACTTGGGTGACGGATGTACTGAGTGCTATAGAATACGCGAAAAGCCAAACCTGAAAGGAAATCTCTGGCCGACAAATAGCCAGCAACCGGTCGCACGGTGAATCCAGTTCGTGCTATTCCATTATAATGGGATGAAGGGAAGAAAATTCAGATGGGTTAATATTGTTCCGGAGTACTGAATGAAATATTACATGATGTAAACAAATAATTACAAGAAAACTGAGCTATTCTAATAAGAACTTTGTTAAAATTATTCTCTGCATCATCCAATTCGCTTGAAAAATGAAGATAACAGCTTTTCCAGTACGAACTGAAGCATCGTTCTATTGCATTTTGCTGATGCCTTTCAAGCTGACCGCACACAAGACACTGCATATCTACTTCTCATACTATAGATACAACCATCAGATAATGGTCTGAATTGTAAAAAGTATATTTCCTATTTTTGGGGGAATTAATGAGCTCTTGGGCTGAGACCTATAACAAAAAAGAACAAGAAAATACACAATGGGTTCATTCAAACCTAAAATACAATTATTCGTTAAAGCTGTTGGTTATCGAGCATGCCACTCAAAAGCAAGCGCTTTTGACTCCAATCCTCGTCAATCCCATCACGACAAAACAACTGTCCTGTGCTCTTTTTGGTTAAAAATAACCAATTATTATTACAAAAATGTACATAATTCCTTTTTTTGATTGCGGAAAGGTATCATAAGCTTCCAAGAAGTGGACAACGACCATACAATGGCTGTCTGGGGTAATACAGATAATGTGAATTACGCAGCTTACGCAATGCCTTTGATCCATATACTTTACATAACAGGTTCTTTCTCTACAAAATTCTTTCATCCTTCAGATGACATAAAGTGATTGTAACTATTCCTTTCTTGATAGAAATTATATTCCTGTCTAGCGTTTGATTTGACTTTCAACTGTCTCCCCGTTTAATATTGTCATTAATTAGCCACCAGTGGGTAGTCCGCAAGCAATTTGGTCTCCTCGTCAATCCATGTTTGCACGCATTGGATTGTTGCAAATAAAATGTGTCGTCTGGAATAAAAGTCACCTGATGAGCAATTAGTAATCGATCAACTTGACCCTAACTACAAACATGTGATTTCGCTTTATCTGATCGAACCCTGTCTCACATTAACCGGGGCAGACTGGTTTACATGATTTGCAACTCTACTTACGATCGGGTTCTGAAATAATTTGATGAATGAGGTAACTTATATCGGTACGGAACTACGCACCACATTTAACAATTTCATTCTAACAGTTTCGTCACAGGTACCGCTGATGGCTTCAGTTCTATGATGTCGCTTCCAATGACTGGAATTTAATTAATTGCTAAGAAAATACTGTTCATAATAAAAATGCATACATTTACTCACATTTCAAATAATTTGAAATATCCTCCAACTGCGGCAGATCCGATTCACTGTGTCGGAGAGATATCCAGAGTGGGAATAGAGAATAATAGTAGAAATATGAAAATCTTGCGATGGATTATGAGCAGTCTGAATTGAATGCGTTAGATCTAGCTCTTCAACCTTGATCCATTTCTCATTGCGTAAACAAACACTGGAAGTTGAAGGCCTAGTAACCGCGGCGTGAGAATATTCAAGATAAACAACCAAACCAGTGATTCCGTGACATTTCATCTACGAATCGGGTCAACATTTCGGGTGAAGGTGAAACAGTATTGAAGCTCTCTCTGTGTACAAAGTGTCCAACTCTGTGAAAATAAACCTGGATGTTATGTAGAGCTTCAGATACGATCTGAATCCAACAGTAAACATTTGGAAGAGAAAGCATTAACTATCCGGGATGTGCGCTTCCCGAGCCCCACAAGCTGAGTGCAAAACCTTTATGTTGCTACTCCATTTCATATATGTACAACCCTATCAATCCCTTGCCGTGTACCTCAACAAGAGTTAGCCATATCTCACGGGATTTATTCACCTGATGTTAGTTATTCGACCTATCCAGTTGTTTGTAATTTACTATTGTCCTCACTAGTACTACTTCGCTGTCAAGTACACATACAATCGATTCTCATGGAGGCGAGAGGGGGTAACTCAAATCTAAAGGTTATACAGATAAACAAAAGAATAATAAAGTCAGAGGGGGCTGTGATGGCGAAGTCTGAACAAAACAGAGCAGGATAAAGATCATTGCCCCACTTTATCGACGCCAAAGAATTAAGAGTGATACGACCGATTCGAACCTACAAGAAAAATACATTCAGTTATCATTGAATAGGATATCCGGAGAAAATCAAACGGTAAATTCAATGAAGTCCTGTAACTGCTCTTGGACCCACAATGAGAAAACAGGCGTTCCATGCGCAAGCTCTGAAGTTTAAATCCCGGACAGACCATTGGAGATGCACTGGTATGGAGGTTTAATGCACAGGGTCACCCAAATTTATATTCTGCCGCAAAAATGGTATCTTAGTTTTGTAGGTAAAGTACAGAGCATGGTCCAGTCAACAAATGTTTCTTTACCGCTGGGTTCTGCGCTACCCTACTTATTTTTTTCGTGTAGAATTTGATTTACTTAAAGCCATTTAATTTTCTAACACTTTTCCAACAGAAATAACTCAATCTTTGTTTCACCAAATCCCTGTTTCCTGCATTTGTTGGACAACCCCCTAGTACGTCTCATTCCATGTAAGGCAAAGGACTGCTCCGTATAGTCCGAATTTGCTGGTCTCAAAGTTATGAATACTGTTCTCTTTTGTGTGCCTTACGTTTTGGTGCCAGTACTATCCTGGATCTTCGGGGAACGGTTCACACGACACCCGTTATGACGGCATTTGTGCGTGAATAGCTTAAATCCAGTGGGCATCAACGGTCTGTCACCTGTGCCATTCCACTTCAGTCCAATGATGGCGGTCAACGATAGCCGTGGTAGCTTTCAATGAACGTTCTTATCCAGAACAAAAAACAGCATATCTGAATGGAAACAGAAATTCGGGTGGGTTACACAAATTTCCACCTAAAGTACTCTCGCCATGCTGACTGCCTGGTTTGAGAATGAACTTAGCATCGTTTACGACCAATTCTATTTCATCTCTATGGGACACTCCTGGCCGGTGATTCGTTAATACTCTCGTTTTTGGAAGACTTCTAGAACTAAAAAGATGAATTATATTGTGGAATGATTACCACCTTGAATGCGATTGAACCCTCATTTAGATGCCCTTAAGGTTTCTGTAGGTCGTACGGTTCAGCAGCAGCTGAGCTATAAAATCACACACATATCGCTTGGATCGTTTCCGAATGCATTCACCACCTGAATACATTCATGAACAGGTGGAGTTTCACTACCCAATCTCATTGCACTGGGTGTATCACTTACCAGTAGCCAGCGTGTTGTTCCAGAAGCTTCAAATTTTCCCGATATTCTTTGCAAGCATGCGTTTCGTACAGTTTGGTCAGTTCTCTGTAGATAACATTCCTGAGGAACAGGGACAATTAAAAAATTACTCAACACTTACTCAACTATTTTAGTTAACCACGGCTAAGTGTTGAACTGCTCTTCAGATTATTGAATCATTTTTAACTGGTACTTATTGTCGTTGGTTGTTGTTATTGGTAAAATACACATCACCCATGCAAAATACATAGACACACTATGGAAAATAAGGAATGCAGTTACCAATCCAACGCTGTTGTTATTCTTATTGTTGGTGGTGGTGGTTGTGGTACAAAGTAAGGGAAGCACATTTCTTACAAAAAGGATTCCTCATTTAGTAAGCAAATTTGTTCAATAAATCATCATTTTTGTCTAAAGTAAACGAATGGTCATGAAAAAGACCGATAAGTATTTGCTAGTTGAACTTTGAATTTGCTAGCTTTTGTTGAAGATACCTTTAAGTCAAAGTTTCTTTTCACCCACCCCTCTGTTTTGTTCAACTCTACTCATTCTCGATTCAAATTAGCATAAGTTATGTGATTCGATCGATATTTTATCAAATCACCCTTCCCGTCTTCATCACTTTCCATACAGACTGAATGCTAGTTGTTGTCAGCTAGAACCAGTTTTCACCGGTCCCTCGTCCGTTATTCCCATTCCCAATAGGCAGAAGACCACTCCAAGCTGATTGTTGCTTTCGCGGGTGGGTGGTTGAGTGTGACAAGCATGAGGATTTGCTTCTTGAATGCTGATATTGCGCAGGATTGGCAAATTCATGACAGGATATTTCACATGTTCTCGTCTGAACTTCCCGCTCCTCCGTAAGTCCGTTTAGCCTTGATTATCTTATCATCTTTTTCAGCTTATTCATGACCGGCTTTAAACCGAAAGTGGGAGCAGGAGAGTTCTAGAGTTTGTATGAGTTTTTGTTGTGGTTGGATTTTTGTGTGTCTGTGTGCGAAGATCAAATTGAGCAAGCAAAAATTGATCAAGTTGAGAATAACAACTGGGAAATCAGTGTGGGTTTGAAAAGCTTTAGAAGCCCTCAGTTCATGATCTAACAGCAGGCAAGATATACATCGAAGGATCACTTAAGAGGATTTTGACAACTGTGAAAACCACTGTAATAAGGATTATCAAGCAGAAGTTGTGAAAGCAACGTAACACAGTTTAACCTTTCGGGTTACCGTGTTTATGAAATTGATTTCTGTATGCTTCCCTGCAATTTTTTCTTATACTTGCTACCCTTCTGATCTTCTGAATGTTTTCGCATTTTCACATCTGTTTATTCATTCTCCATCATTCTGATTGCATGCATTTTACACCTTTTTCAACCTGGTGCTACTTATCCAGTGCTTGAAACTCCATGGTTTGTTGTTAACGGAAACGTTTTCTCTCCCGCACACACACAGATACCTAATTATGGGGCTATTTCGTAATCTACCGAATAGCATAATTACTCACCAAAATGCCTGGAACTTACTACCGAAGAGAAGTTTTTTCCTGCTGGTACTTGGTTTCTACTTTGCTTTGTGTTGTTTACACAGAGTGATGTTTTTGGGCACAGTCTAATAAGCACAAAGTGGTATGGCTATTATAATTATGTACATAGAAACAACCGAATGGATTCTCTATTCTGAAGTGCCAGTAGGCTACAACCTCTCGACGTTGTGCGCTGAGTTTTGTTCAAATATTTAAAGCACACACTTTTACGAAACTCTGGGTTACCACGAGCTCCGCGTATTCAAGGTGTACCTGTTATTTTTTATCCATCCTCAAACTTTCGCCTAATACTGTATAAACTTCCTGCCGTCGATTAAGGTTGGGTACATTATGGATTGATTTTAGCTCGGGATTTAGGTATTTGTGTTGGTTTATTCGTCGACCTGGGAGTGTTGTTTTCAAACGTTTTGGAACCGGGCTAAGCGACATCATCAGTGCGAATTCGGGGATGATATTATCTGGTCTGGCTACAAAATTTCTGTGAACATTTCCACACCAACAACAACATTGATTGATGTAGTTCTGGCTGGGAGTTCGGGAATTTCATTTGTCTCGAAACACTACCGCAGTTGTTGGGAAAAGCAATGTTCTCCTATTTCTGGGATGGTACATCAAGTTCGGTATGCTCATTCCTTCCTTCATGCCGGTGTCACAAACGCATACTTTTTAAAAATTCACGCAGCTACATTCCAATGATGAATTAATCAATGGAACGGTGTTTAGCCTAATCACGCGGGTAGTAACTGCCACAATTATTCGGAGGAATTCGTGGCGCTTTGAACAACCAAATCATGCGTGCTGAAAGTCTTCCGCTGGGTGTCTACACCGTGTTACATGACTTAACTGGTCGAACTGAAGCATGCTAATCTCTAAACCGGTCAGCCGACGAAAAGATCGACTCGAACCATAGCTCTGGTCGACCCGAGTCTAGGTCACTGTCGTTGTCCGTTGCTGTGGACATCCAGCATAATGGGAATATTCTTGCTGTGTTCCTTAAATCTACCTACTTACTGGATTTGCGTCTTGCGAAATGAGTTGGCTTCACAACTAAACTCCGGTTCTACATCGATTCCTTCCACACTCAGAATTATATGAAATTCATTGGTTGTTCTGTCCTAGGCTCGTCTGCATCCTCAAATAGTGATGTGAAACTGTGTTCGTATCGAGCACCCTCTCAGAAAGAAATCAAATTGTATCACGCACTTAGATTAATTTTCTCTTTGGGAAATATGAGGGTATTCAATAAAATGAAAATTAGCAGAAAGTTCTTGCTTCCTCTGAGAATGATTTACCTGTATTCGATCGATCTGTTTGTAACAGCTACTCCTACATGGACTTCAGCGAATGAAATCGGGTACTACTATACAAGCACTGTAACTTATTGTCCATTTTACCGTTTTTCACTAATATAAGCAATCAATTGTAAACCAGATTAAAATTTCTTAACAGCCTCCAATGATTTTCTCTTTTGTAAAGTAAAACAAACGTGCGTGAAACATCCGGTAATCGGTGTACGTTTACTTCAACCTACTTCGTCGACTCCAGCGAGGATTGACTGATATACTTCACAGATGGAACTCAGTCATACTATGTGCGCTTTTGACCATCTTGAAACCCTTCTTCATTGAACCCGGCTCATTTCAGCACTGCCCTCTGAGGCTGACTCTGTAGCACCTATCCCTCAAATAATAACTAGGTAGAACACTCTCGGATTAGGTGCAGATGAGTGCATAAAAGGCTGCTTACCATGTTTTCTTCTCGGTTTCAGTATATTCGACTCTTGGAATCGGTTGTCCGCTTTGGGGGTGGGAAAATAAACACATGGAAATTAAGCAGATCAGATGTGAATGTAACACATGCGGTACTCGAATTAGCATAGTAATAAGCCTTTTTCAAACTGAAATCAGAGTTACCCCCGATCGTGACATGTAAGGCGACAATGAGAGCAGCAAACCAGCAGTGGAATTTGGAAACAGATGAACGCAGCGAGACAGCCAGACCTGAACCAACTGATGTGTCTGTCACTCGGCTTGGAAAATTCATGTTGGGATTCTTTAAAAATTACTCATTCGCAACTGTAGGCAATTCCGAATGACAGCACTTTATTATCTATATGCCTGAAAATAGAACTTGTCTTTTTTCCTCAAGTGGAAGCATCGTCACTAGGGAAACCGAAATCTGATCAAAATTGGAATGGTCAGAAAGAAAACCCATGACATTACTAAACACCAACTAAAAGTAGTGCCAACGACTCCCCAAATATTTCAACCAGAAATCATGGGGTAAACCAAAGGAATGAGCTGGGGTCCATTTGGTTCAGTCATGATATTTCGTGTGAATATCATCAGCGAATGAAACTCTTAGAGTTACGTTCATTGTTGTTGACAAAAGGACACTTTAGATAATTGCGAATTAAGTCTATATTCCTGGTTTATTTTCAAGGTTTGCGACTCACAATGAACAGGAATTTATCCAACAATCATCAAATCAGAGTTGTACAAACGTTAAAACTATCGAAATCTACACAGAGAGATGTGTGAGAAAATGGTTTGGAATTCGGAGGAAGACAGGGTTACTTAAATGTGATGAGGAATGATTAAAAGGACATAAATTCAGAATCTAAAGGTGGAAGTGCATGGATGAACACAATTTTGGTGACATAAATGGTGCCGTTCACCAATGGTAAAAGTAAATACTGAACAGGACGGGGAGTTCCCGAAGTAGAAGGTGTGATCGGACCAAAAAAAACATTAGATCTGGTGCCACCTTGGGCCATATCGAAATCATGGCAACTTAAAGATGGTTTCATTGTTGAAAACGAAAGATCGCACTCAATGAATGCCAACTCAGTGTATACTAATAAAACCGACAATTATCAACTTGGGAGTGAAGGATGAACTTTAACCATAATTCATGGGAATCACAAGTTAGGTAGATCAATGAATTAAAGATGGAGTTCGGAGTACGGTCGGTCATAATTAGGAATTCACATTTAGAGTATCATGTCTGGATTAAACCAATTAATTACTCAAATGCACCAGGTACTGTTGGTCATCAAAACTATTTCCATCGCGTTTAACTGCATTCAACTTGTAGGAAATGTACGATCTACCACGGAGTTAAATCCAAGTCCGAGACCATCAAGAGTGCCTGGTGCCTATGAACAATCGAATGGGTTACTCTGAACGTGATACGTGCTGCTGTCGAGTCCCTAACAGGACGAAACGGGTGTCTTGTACTCTTCGTGGGTCATCATAAATATTTCTATCAGGATTGTATATTGCTATATATAGAAGGATTTTTAGTGAAACGCTATTTTCCACGAACAACACTGGTCAGTGATCTTGTGACTTGGATGATTTGTGATCTTCAGACCGAGATTAGTTTGCTGGAATTTCCGCGAGTTGCTGTTCCTCCTGTATTGTTATCAAGTGTACTACTATTTGAGTCAGATTCAAGCAGTAACAGCTTTTAAAATGTAGCATTTCTTTGGTTGACTGAGGAGTAAGTGCTACATTTCGGAGACGCGAGCGTTCAACCGTAGCTGAATCGAAGTTTGATACGTTTATTATGTACTACATAAAGTGCCTGCCAATGTGTTTTTCTCCGGTTCAAGAAAACGACGTTTGTTATTTGTTATTTGGCTTTTCCAACGATGTTTGCGGTACAATTGATTTGCATCATTTAATCAGCGAAAACCTCAAGGTGCACTCACTGACTTTCGCACGGATCCAGATCGTGCTCGGTTGAGTGCAGAATGGCACGAGATTTTCATTCACTGTCTGACTGTGAACCGATCACCAATGAAATGCATCCTTTTTCATGTTAGTGATTATATTTTAGAATTTCTTGCAATTCCACACGATGCACAACTCAACAGTCATCATTGTCATAGGGTCGAATAAAGTGACTTTTATCGAAGACCACATCCGAATAAACTTTAATCTGTGATTCTCATGAGCTCTGATGTGTCAGATGACTGGCAACCTGGGTATCAGACACTTCTACCATATGATGCTATCTATGTTTAAATCTTAGCCGGCCGATAAACAAAAACCATCACTGAGCTCTAACGACAGAGGAACTCAAGTCTGCGGTGACGGCTGAGTTTTGCACGTTACCATTATGTTTGAACGATCGTAAGTCACAAACACTGTCATTCATCCTACCCTACTACTTACAAAATTGGGTAGGGTATACGGGGAACGTTGAGGAAGGGAAAGTGCAGAAATTTCATGCAGTTCGAACTTACTGTTTATAGTTTAATGCCACCTCGGTAAAGTAGTTTCTTCTTTTCCGGTATTCCGCATCTTTGAATCCCTTATGGGAAAGACAACAGACACGAAAAAACAGTTCAAATTGTACAAAACTTCTATTGTTTTATTTGAGAAATAAATAGTATTTAAAAAAGTAACTTTCGTCTTTAGAATTCATTATAAAACTTGGAGTTAGGAATGAGCATTTCATGGTATAAACAATATGCACGATTTTTCAAAAGGTAATATTGTGCCTAATTTATTTTGCCGAAAACCTGAAAGTTGGTGAATTGTAACAACATTTAGGAGTTATTACAAAATCTTACCGTAATAATAGTACTGCAGTTAAATTTACATTTTCAACAAATGTCAGGATTCCTTATAAATGATAATATTTCAAATCATGGGCGCTTCAAGTCTTGTATGTGATAGTCGCTCACGCTCTTCAAGTGACACGTGACTAGTCAGCCTGTCTTTGGACTTCATCAGTATCGATCTATTAACTGTTTCATCCATCAGTATCTTTTTGTGTGTCGTGTGAAACGATTATACAGAGTTTTGAACACATCTTTTCGGTTCTGTAAATCATTTGTTCTTGGTAATCATATCATGGGTTTCCGATTTGACAGTAGTATTTATTCGTACTCTCTGGCAACATTAGATTACCAACCTCTTCCTATATATACAACAAGGTGAACCTGGATTTAAAAGCTCGAAAGCACCCTAGACCTGTTTCAAGCTAAGTGTGAGGGAGGGTACCATATACGGACGAGGAAACATTTCCTCAGCCACCCCATGGTTCCATCTATGAGTCTCCGGGTTTCGTGTTTATTGTTTCGAATAC